GGGAGGAAGATGAAGGTGTCTGCTCTCCCTTGTCTCCACACAAAGAAAATGCAATAGTTTCGACACAGCTAAAGGTGGAAAATACGGAACTGAAAGAGAAAAGAAGTTCCATAAAAAGCGTGACTGAACTGTGGATCTCGCTGTCACAGGGTGTTGTCAAGAATTAGGATGGTTAAAAAAATGACCTGATGTTTTATTCCCTCCAGCATTTGCATACGGTAACTTAAATAACATTTTGGAAGGGATAGGCAATGTTTCTGTAGGGCTGGAGGGACCTTACTACAAACCACCTTAACTCTCCCTGAAGCCTCTGTCACTGACCACTTTTAGAAAAGGGATATTTGAGTAAAAAAAAATCCCAGTAGGTGGTTCAGGTACAGCAATTTTGATGCATTCCAGAGGAAGCATTAGGCATAATAACTCCAGTCTGCTTCAGGGCTTAGTGGTGTTTCCTTGTAGCACCAGAGGAGGGGTGGATGCTGGTGAGCCTGACTGACGAGAGGTGATTCAGAGAGCAAATCTCCTCCTCTCTTCTTCCCAGGGCCACCTGGGGGCTTTGTCACAGGCAGCACTAATTCCCCTGAGCCAAAGGAGTGGTGGTGCTGGCTGCTGGGACCTGTGATATGTGGGGCTGCTGGTGGGGGGGCTGCCTGCCCTGAGCAGTAACACAGGCACAGGGGTCCTGCTGCAGGCAGTGGTGGCTGGTGCGTAGGGGGGCACCTAGCAGTGAATTGTAAAGGTCAGCATTGTCTGCCTTCAGGTCCTGGGTAATTACCCAAGGAGAGGAAGCAGCGCATTAATGAAATTAGCAAGTGATGTTTAACCAGGAGGTGCTATCACATCACTCCGATGCCATCAACCCCCCTGTACTGCTTGGCATGAAACCTTCCTGCCTTGTGGGGCTTCCAGCCCCATGGCGCTGTTGATAAACCATTGGTTTGTGCTAAACGATGCATCTCCAGGTGGGACAGGGGGCAAAATGTCCTCTCCGTCCCAGCTGCAGCTCTCCTCATTGCAACATGTTTTATAGTACCCGGGGAAGGGGATGGGAATCCATTAGTCACTCTTTTGTCTTTTTTCAACACCTGGAACAGAGGTGGGTGGCCAGGCTGAGGAAGCGGCTGTGTGTGCCAGGGAACAGGCTGTGGTATCTCTGACCTCTGCTGTTTGAAATTTGCTATGACTCTGCAAACACCCGCCCCGGTGTGCTTGTAGCGTGGGGACTGAAGAGGGTGAGGGTTTTTGGGGTCCCCAAAGGCCACTTCCTCTCCTCTGTGTTTGTCCTGGTTGTGCTAGGTGTGGTTGATAAGGAAAGCTGCGTCCAAATGTTCTTGTTGTCGTGCTCGAGGGGAAACAAGAGGGCACCCTTAATTATCCATAGCTGCCCATGTGTGCTTGCATCTCTGAACTCGGTGGGTGTCAGAAGTGCTCCGTGTTGTGCCACTCTTGGGCAGTGGGAGTCTGCTGTAGAGGTTTGTCCTTAATTTTGGCCAGTGGCTTTCATCCTCATTCTTGGAGATGAAATGGCATCAAAGACCTGATACAGAGGACTAGGGACAAGTAGCAGAAGTTTTCATCTTCTTGTGGATCCCCGGTGAGAGAAATAAACCTGCCCTGGACCAAGGTGCTGAGGTAGATCAGATGAGTGGGTCTGTGCCTGGCAGCGGGGGCTCTGTCCCCAAAAGCATGGCTGGCTGGTCCAACAAGGGGCACTGTGTCTTCACAAGCCTGGCCTTGCTGGTGGTGTGGTGGATGTGCTGCATGCGGGGCAGAGGGGCCCCATGGCAAGGCTTGGCTTGTAAGTGCTTTTAAGTTGTGTAAAGGAGGGTCTTGCAAGTAAACCAGCGCCAAATATGATTTCTTTCTTTCTTCAGCTGGACTGTGATCGAATTCTGCACGGGGTAAAGGGTGGAAGGATTTTCTGCAGCGAATCCTCACAACCAGTCTGTGGCACTGATGGGAAAACATACAAAAATGAATGTGACTTGTGTTCAGCTGCCATGTGAGTAGGCGGAGAGATTTCAGTAATACAGGGCCATCCACCATTCCCGAGTGTCTTTTGCAGCACAGTGTTTGTTTTGATATATCATGACTCACTATCAAGTGTGTCCTTGGTGCCTTGCTGTTAAGCAAACATAGATCAAAATGCCTGAGATTAATCTGATGACAGCTAATTAAGATACACAAGTTTCCAGAGTCCCCTATTCCCCTTCTGCCCGATCATAAGGTTGTTTGGGGAGTAATAAATGCCATCATATTGGAAGTAGCATCAAAGTATTAAGGAGTCCACAGAGGACTGTCATGCCAATGGCAGAGAGCTCTGGCATTGCAAGTGAATAATAAGCAATGTCTTGTCCTCCCTTTGCAGGAGAGCTTCAGACTACATTACGATAAACTATCGAGGTGAATGCCGAAAGCCTGCCCCTCAAGTGGTAAGCGGCATGCCACAGCTGGGCTGGGGAAACATCAATCTGTTCTTTTTCCCCTTGTGAAACTCCGCGGTTGGCACCGCCTCAGCTTGTGGGGGCCTGATCCAGGCAGCCACAAGGGAGAGTGAAAAATGAGGAGTAGCTGGCAGTCAGTCACCAGCTGCCCTGCCGTGCTCTTCAGCGGAGCTGGGGGTCAACATCTTGACCTTGCCAGCAAGTGAACTTGAACAGGTTAATTAAAGCTGTGCTCTGTGGCTGCACTTCGGCCACGTGGTGCAGCATGCTCCGGTGCTGTTAGGGTCAGCCTGGGGCGTCCTGCAGGTTGTGAGGGCTTGGTTGTACCACAGGCTGAGAGGGAAGAGAGATATTGGAGCCCCTGATCTCCTCTAATTGCCTCCCCGCCCCGGGGTGGGATGTTGCTGAGGGGTGGAGAAGATGACCACCCAAAGCACCTCTTGGCTGTGTGGCATCCCATTTCTCACTCCAAGTGCATGCTGGGGCCCAGCCTGGCTTCTGCATCTGTGGCAGGATCATTAGAGCCCCAGATGTTTAAATACAGGTTCAGACTTGGATTTAATATGTAACCTGGGCATGGTCTCCATGTCTTACCTTGGCTGTAGGGTAGGAGAGTGACATGTCTGGGAAAACATCTGGCTTTCCTCTAGCAATACTGGGGCCAGGAAGACTAGAACTGCATCAACCATAAAGAGCTCATTTCCCAAATAATATCCAAAGAGATGTTTGGGAAATGAAAATTACTCAGTGGCATACTTTGGGAAAGGTCTGGAGCCTTGACATCTTGTGCGATCTCATATAGCAAATGAGTTAAATGTTTCTCAGTTGTGCTTTGTCTTTCCACCAGTGGCAGCTTGGCAGTCTCCAGCAATTTGATTTGCAGCCAGGGTCTGCGTTCGTGTCTCTTGAGCATGTGGGATGCCCTGTATCACCCAGGGAGGACTGTCTTCTGTATTGGCATGAACTCTTGAGAAACTAAATATCCATCCCCAGGGAAATACTGAGATTTGTTCCCACTCTCTGAACCTGGATAGAATCAAAATACTGAACTAGCCAAACAGAGAAGTTCTGTGAAGTTTTGGATGGGAGCTTTGGCTTCTGAATATGAATTTGGTATCAATGTGTTTGTAGGCAAGGAAGAGCTTTCCTGTGGGGTAGCTGTCATGCCATTAGTGTCATGCCATGCCTTCCTCTGCTCAGTGCCAGGATGTCAGCAGATCCCCAAAACATTAAAAAGTAATCATCCCAACTCCTCTTCCCCTCTTCTGTAAAGCAGCAGAGTGCTTCCAACTTTGTTTAAAGTTGAAAAAATTGTAACGCAGAGAGAAATAATTTTGTCTGTGAACATACTGGAGGCCTTTGTGTCTTGATCTTTAGCGTGAAGAAGCCGCTCTTGTCCTGTATATTCTGGGAGTGTGGGGAGACCAGGCACTGAGGAAGGCTGTTGGTGACTCTGCTCACACTGCCCAAGACAGATGAGATTGGGTATACCATGGCAACTGAAAAATAGAGAGGATTCCCACAAAACTGTGCCTGGTCTGGAATTCCTTACTGTTTTGTGTTTTACCAAGCTGTTAGAGCTCTCAAGCCTTTGCAATTAGAGGAATATGCCATTTACTGGAAGTCAGACAGCTTGTAGCTATATTAAGTATTCCAAGGAGAGTTGGATGCAATTAAAAGGGGAAGTGATAAGCTTTTAACCTGGGGTAACCCGCCAAACATAAACCCCCATGTACAATGGTTTATTCTTTATTTATGTATGTCACCTGATGAATCAGATGGGAAATTTATGGAAGCCCATTTCCTTGGAAAACCTTTTGAGTCCATCAAAGACTTTCCCTATTTCTCAGTTGGAAGCTTATGAACAATGTACAGAGCGATGTTATTTTCAGCACTGAAATTCATGGTCACTTGCAGTATAATGAATTCTTTTTTCCTACTTAAGATCCAGGCACTCAATATATGCTACTAAAACCCAGAGGAAACCAGCTCCAGCAGTGCTTTTGGCATCAGAAATGGTTTTAGACAGTTGCAGTGTGCAGAATGAAAATGCAAAGGCCTCTCTTTAAGCTCTGGAGGAAGATAAGAAATTGTTACCCAAAAAAATATTTCCTCAAGCTGTTTTTGAAATTATGCTTGGAGGGTGCTGGGTTGCCTGACAAAATGTGTGTCCAGGCTGCCTCATCCCTTTGCAGCTTGTTGTCTGCATCCAATCCTGCCTGCAAAGCTCCTACTGGATTTCCAGGTGTTTCTGGTGACCAGATTGCCATCAGGGAGGGATGCTTGTAGGAAGGGCTGGGAGCAGTGTGGTTTGAGAAAGATCTGACACAAAAGGGTGTATCTGTGCACTGCTGTTGTGGAAAACCTTGCTGCAGAGAGCCTGTGCCCAGGCTCACCACCTTCCCTGGGAAATCTGTGCAGTAACCAAATTCCTTTGATCCCGTGCTACTTTACTGTGGATGAATGTAGGTCTGAGTCCTGGGTTTAGGTTTTTTTTTTTAATTTTTTTTTTTGGTAAGCGATCTGGCTGCTGGGTCCTGCAGTGCTATGTCATATGGGTGAATCAGTTGTGGGTCTTTCCAGTACATTTCACTTCTAATGGTGCATATCTTGCAGTTCCTTTACTCATTCAAAGGTTTTTCCACAAATCACCCATGCAGTAGTCACCAGTCTGCCCTTGTTAGTCAATAAGTCAGGAAAAAAGGGAACATCTGGTTTCTCCTTTTTAAAATCTGTTTCTTAACAAACAGATAACTCCCAGGTCGGACTTGCAATGGGCAAGTCCTGGTTTCCTTAGTGTTCTTCATTTTCCCATACTTCTTTTTAAGGTGGCAGAAAGAGGGGGGAAAAAAAAAATCAGGACTTTCCCAGTTAGGTAGTAGGTGAGGAAAAGCACCTAGCTTCAGGCTGAAATGAGTTGTCTGTGCCTAGGCTGGCAGTGACCCAGCCTGCCTGCCCGGGTGCCAGGCTCTGCAGTTTTGTGTGGCCGCTGAGCTGGCCGGAGGGGCTGTCACACAGATACTGGTGCTCTGCAAGTGCCACACAGCTGTGGTGTCATACTTGGAGATGGACTTATTTTTTTGCTCTTTCTTTCCAGAAGTAATGGAGTTCAGACTGCCAGCAAACACCAGGGATCAGCTGTGACCAAAGGTACAGAGAGAGGGGCAGTGATTTACCCGCCCTGGGCCAGCCTGTCCTCTGGAGGTTGCATTTCACAAGGGCTGGAGCATCCAGCCTTGCCCGGGCTGGCTGCAGGGATGGGGCAAAGGGTTGTGCCGTGTGCTTTTGCCTTTTGCTGCAGCCTAGGGGATGGTGGGGCTGAGCCTGTGGGAATGTGCAAACTTTCTAAAGCTGGTGGTGGGCTCTGCCCATTCCTTTTCCCTGGCTCTGTTTTTTCAGCCAAGCTGTCCCTGCGGAACAGGGAGAATGCTGGCAGAGCAATGTGCTGCTGTACCCCATCTCAGGGAGATGGGGTGGGGGGGGCTCAGAGCCCCTATAGAGCATGGGAGCATCACAGCTTTGAGGCTTCCTTGTGGTCCTTTCAGGTTGCTTTGCCTTCTGGGGCTATAGTAATAAACTGTCTCCCTCTGTCTCCCTAGGGCAAGTAAAGGAAGAGTTGATGTTGAGCATCAGGGGAGCTGCTGAGTCCCCAGGACTGCCAGAATTGCCTTCGTCCCCTTCTGCAGTGAACGGGGCCTGTCCTTGCTCAGGTGGAGGGCGAAGGGCTATGGGGACCCAGCGATGTCTTCCCAGGTCTGCCCCACACATGCCACTGCAGTCTCTGCTGCCTCGCTGTGTCTTAGCGTGCTTCTACAATAAAGATAACTCAGCAGCTTCATGTCACTTTTATTCACTAAGCCTTGTGGGAGGGACACACAGGTCCCCGTTCCAGCTCTACACCACGTGTCCCTTAGGCAATAAGCAAGTGCAGAGGCCCCTGGGGTGTACCAGCTGCTGTAAATACCCAGCGACTGTGTTGGACCTAAGGAGGAAAAGCGTGGTCTGGGGGTTTGTGAGAAGGGACCAGGGGTCACATTCTCTGACTCCTGGGGTCTTGGGTCAATCGCTTCACTGCCCTTTCAGCCCTTTTCTCTTGCCTGTAAAATTGACATTAAAAGATGCTTACCTACCTCAGAGGGTTGTTTTGAGATTTGATTGGTTTACATCCGGAAACCCGCACAGGGAAACTGGTTTTAAAGCACCCTGTGTGTTGGGCTGGCAGTTTAACTGTTGAAGTAAGTGTCCTCTTCAAGCCTCCTCATCTTGAGGCACTGGGAAATCCAGACCACTTTGTTGGAGCAGCCGTGGGAAGTAGATACACCTTGACTGGTCATGTTAGATGGTGTGCCGAGCCCTGCCCCACTGAAGCTGGAGTTGGAGGCACAGCCAGGAAGGTCTCTAGGGTCTGGAGGTGTGAATTTGGCCAACAAATTCTTGCTCTGAGTGGGCAGAAGCACCAATGGCACCCTTGAGGCAGTGCTGGCCAGGCTGAAAGCTCAGCCATCTTGGTGGCTCGTAGATCATCACCACATGCTTTTGGGTCACCCTTCTGCCTTGGCGTGAACTTCCTTCCCCAGGCAAGGCCCTATGGGCACAAGGGCTCAGCCAGTGCCTATCTCCTGCAGGGAGGGGTCCTGGTGCTGTGAGATGTTGAAGTGAGAATTTCCATGGTTTGAATGGCTTAAGCTATTTAAGGAAAAGTATTTCCGGTTTGAGATGTGATTTACAGACAGTCCTAACTTGTTTGTAGTCTGAGCATTTTAAGATGAAGCTGGGTTCTGGAACTGAAGGCTCCCCTGGCTAGTTGGGGCAACACATCAGAAAGCGGGGTAGGATTTGCAAAGCAGGAGACTTCATGATGGAGCGTTAACAGAAATCTGCTGGCAGTTTGCATGTGCTTCCTGTACTTTCTTTTATAGCTGTTACTTAAAGCAAATATGGTCTTTATTTGTATAAACTTTATTGCAGGACATTTCCAGAAGACCTTGAGTGAACACACACTGTGTTTGAGTCCATTTTAGCTGTGACCTAATCTGTAAACACTTTCTGTTGTAGATAAGGTTGGAGTGACTTTCTTTCAGATTTTGGCAGGATTTTACCTAATACCAATTAATTTCACTCCCACCAAGGACATAGATTTTTTTTTTTTCCCTTTCAATTAAGTTATCAAATCCTTTCTTTCTACTGCAGTTAATGAGAATTGATTTTAAACTCTTAAAATGCTTACACGTGCATCACGTTTTATTTCTGCTGATAATAATAAAATCTGATTTTATTATCAGCAGACTGACATAAGTAATTGTTAATATTTTGTACGCTGATTTTTAATGCAAGTCGACACTGTGATTCAGAAATAAATTATTACTGCCTATGACACTATGATTTAGAAATAAATTATTACTGCCTATTTCTATGTGGAAAAATCCCCTCACCAGTCATTTAGGGTGAAAGTCACCTGTCTGGTCCTGGCCTGCTCTTTTCGGGGATGCAAAATTTTGTCTCTCTCTTTGAGCTGTGATGAAACAAGTAATTTCTTCAACATTATTTATGCAGCCTACAAATGATGAATATCAGACAATAAAAATGTTCTCTGATGATGTCTGCTCACTGATTCCAGCTAAAATCATGTGCAGGAACATCTATGTGATTTCATAAAAGCAGTGCACAATTTGTGGCTTAAAATAAATTCTTGCAAATGAAAATCAGTGCACTTGAAAGCTATTATGATCTGTAGTGATTTCAAGTATTTAGGTTTTGAAATAATCGCCCATAAAACCTGCACTAACTGTGCTCCAAAAGCAATGAACTGATGAAGATGGTGCCCTAGTAGCACCTTCTGCATTTCTCCTGCTGCCAGCAGAAATTGTCATCCACAAAAATCACAGCTGGTGATAAGGGATTGTTAATCAGATTCCAAACCTGTCTGCTGAGAAGGTGCAGGACAGTGACTTGCTAAAACAGCCTGTGCTGCTGTTAACAGCCCCACCAGAGGTAGCAATGCTAACTCCTTCCTGCTCTCAGCAGCCTGCCTCGTCCGTCCTTCCTTGCTTTCAACCCCCTTTTGCAGATTGCTCCAAGGGCTTGCTGATGACGTCTGTCCTGAGCAGCGCTGCGTGTGGTGGAGCTCCAGCGGGACTCCATGTGAGTGATGCCATGCGTTATTTCCATGAGGTTCCTGGGGAGAAGGAGGCAAAGGCTCAAGAGGTATTGGGAATTTATTACCCTCTCATTTATGTTGGCTCTTAGTTACCCTTTGTGTTGCCCTCTAACACGGTAATGAGGCCAGAACAGTCCTCTATGAACCTGGAAAGGTACCAGCACTCTGGGGAGTCTTCAGTTTGCTGTAAATTATGCTTTGTTAAGGGTGTCTCTTGCCAAGTTCCACACGCCACATGTGGCTCACAGCATTTTCTGAGGTTTTGCAGAACTGGTGATACGAAACATCAGCTTCGGTCTCCAGGCCTCTCAACACAGTTGGGTTTTGAGCTAAACTACTCTCTGCAGGGGCGTTGAGTCTTGTGTTTTTTTCATAAAACGTGTTGGGTACTTATGCAATTTTTCAGGGCGTGCAAATGCTGTTCTTGGTGTGTATTGAGGACTGTTGACTCTGGCAGATGACTCAGCAGACCTTGAACTCACCATGGTGTTTCTTAACGTTCTGCAGTCTGTCATTTTGGAGCCTGTTGGCTCTGCCCACCACCCAGCTGCTCTTGCAGCCACCATTGAAGGAGAGCGCCTGCATGGCAGCACGGTGTGCTCCAGCTAGGGGACCTCTCACAGTCTGCCACAGCAGGTAGTGCTAGAAATTCTGCAGTTGAGGACCTTTTGCTTCTTAAAGAACTGAGTGAGTTGCAATGTGGAAAGCCTGATGCTGTTTGTGCAGTGAAGCCCCTCTGGGTCTGCTGCAGAGCTCTCTCTTCTGGTTCACCCTACATCTCTGTGATGCTCAATCCCACCGAGCAACTGCTGTGTATGGGTACCTGAGGGTTTCACTGTTATTTGATTTATTATTTTATAATTTGATTATTATTTTGATCACAAAATGATAGAGTTTTTGATTCATGGAGAAGTAAGGAGGAAGGTCAGCAGAACTGAGTCCTTTGGGAGGCAGTTCTGAAGGCCAAAGTTGTCCTGGAAGGCTGGACATTCTTCAAGAAGGAAATCTTCAAGGTGCAGGAGCAGGCTGTCTCCATGTGCCAAAAGACGAGCTGGCAGGGAAGATGACTGGCCTGGCTGAACAAAGCTCTCTAGCTTTGGCTGGAACTCAGGGAAAAAAAAGGAGAGTTTATGACCTTTGGAAAAAGGGTCAGGCAACCCAGGAGGACTACAAAGATGTCATGAGGTTATGCAGGGAGAAAATTAGAAGGGCCAAAGCCCAACTAGAACTTAGTCTGGCTACTGCCATAAAAGACAATAAAAATGTTTCTATAAATACGCTAGCAACAAAAGGAGGGCTAAAGATAATCTCCATCCTTTATTGGATGCAGGGGAAAACATAGTGACAAAGGATGAGGAAAAGGCTGAGGTACTTAATGCCTTCTTAATCTCAGTCTTTAATACTCAGACCAGTTGTTGTCCAGGTACCCAGCCCCCTGAGCTGGAAGATGGGGACGGAGCAGAATGAAGCCCCCATAATCCAAGGGGAAATGGTTTGCAACCTGCTACACCACTTAGACACACACAAGTCTATGGGGCCAGATGGGATCCACCCAAGGGTACTGAGGGAGCTGGTGGGAGTGCTCACCGAGGCACTTTCCATTCTTTATCAGCAGTCCTGGCTAACTGGGGAGGGCCCAGTTGACTGAAGGTTAGCAAATGTGATGCCTATCTACAGGAAGGGCTGGAAGGAGGATCTGGGGAACTACAGGCCTGTCAGTCTGACCTCAGTGCCAGGGAAGGTTATGGAGCAGATCGTCTTGAGTGCCATCATGTGGCGTGTACAGGACAACCAGGTGATCAGGCCCAGTGAGCATGGGTTTATGAAAGGCAGGCCCTGCTTGACTAATGCGATCTCCTTCTATAACAAGGTGACCCTACTTAGTGGATGAGGGAAAGGCTGTGGATATTGTCTACCTAGACTTTAGTGAAGCCTTTGACAGTTTTCCATAGTGTTCTCCTGGAGAAACTGTCTGTTCATGGCTTGGATGGGCGTACTCTTTGCTGGGTAAAAAAATGGCTGGATGGCTGGGCCTAAAGAGTTGTCGTGAATGGATTTAAGTCCAGTTCATGGCTGGTCACAAGTGGTGTTCCCCAGGACTCAGTACTGGGGCCAGTTCTGTTTAATATCTTTATCAATGATCTGGAAAAGGGGATCCAGTGCACCCTCAGTAAGTTTGCAGATGATGACAAGTTGGGCAGGAGTGTTGATCTGCTCAGGGTAGGAAGGGTCTACAGAGGACAGGCTGGATCGATTGGCTGAGGCCAATTGTATGAGGTTCAACAAGGTTAAAAGTGCTGGGTCCTGCACTTGGGTCCCAACAACCCCATGCAATCTTATAGGCTTGGGGAAGAGTGGCTGGAAAGCTCCTTGGCAGAAAAGGACCTGGGGGTGTTGGTTGACAGCCGGCTGAATATGAGCCAGCAGTATGCCCAGGTGGCCAAGAAGGCCAACGGCATCCTGGCTTATAGTGTGGCCAGCAGGAGTAGGGAAGTGATTGTTCCTCTGTACTCAGCACTGGTGAGGCCCCACC